ACGCAGTATAATTTCGTATGAAATTTTTCTTAAGACCGTTACCTTGCTGAATATGACCATCTTTAATTTGTGATTATAGAGAAGCCTCACGTTACCATTGCAATTTGAGCTAATCATGTTACCTTGCAAATTTTGTAAAAATCTCTCTTAAAGAGATCTTTGTGAGCTCCATCCGTTACTTGAAGACAAGATATAAGCATCTCTCTTTACTTTGTAGAGACAAGCACCTCATTTAGGTGAATGAGAGGTATTTTATCATAATGGGTGTGGGCCCCACTCTTTTGATGACTTTGGCCACAAAGTCCTCTAAATGTGCCATCTTGCTTTGTGGGTTACGACTCATTATCAAGAGTCCTTTAGGCTGCCACGTTGGAGTCTAATCAAAACATATCCAAATACACTAATTAAATAATTAATCTCCCACTAGGATCACTAATTACCTAATTATCATATAATTAAGAATTATCTCAAATTACTTATAATACTACTCACTTTTAACACACGTTATACATCTTGCTATCATGGTCATGTGGTACCTTGTATGGCACTAGTCCATAAATACAGGGTATTGTAGCTTGGACCGTATTTTATCCCAAAATGTCAAACTTTGAAGTAACTCATTTTCTTTCAATCCACTTACTCTCTCACCTTTACGAATTTACTTATCACTTATTTGAAGTAGCACAATACTTATAATCCCAAAATAATCTCATTCCCGAACTTACGTCGATTATCTTACGACGAAATGTTTAACACACGAAAATGTGGGATGTAACATCTCTTTTCCGAGCTTTCATCAATTTACTTATGGCGTACTTTCACGTACGAAAATATGGGGCTTAACATATTGAATCCGTTTAGAACTAGGGTTGCGGGCACGACCTGGTCCTGTTGACCAAGCTGCTCTACGACCTTCGATCTAATAATGTTGGATGAACTACCTGGATCAATTAACACATGCTTAACTTGAGTTTTATTCATAACTACAGATATTACCAGTGCATCGTTGTGGGGTTGTATGACTCCTTCTGCGTCTTTATCATTAAAGGACAAGGTGCCTATGGGTGCGTAATCCTGAGTCCGAGATCGCTTCTCTCTTACGATCGACATCTTAGTGCGCTTAAGCACCGGCTCCTGGGGGGTATTGGTCCCTCCGATGATCATGTGGATGATGTGTTGTGGCTTTTCTTGTTTGTTTTGTCTATTGAATTCTCTATTTTTAAAATGGTTTTTGGCTTGGTCGCTTAAGAACTCTCGAAGGTGCCCTTCATTGAATAACCGGGCTACCTCCTCTCTCAGTTGCCTACAATCTTCCGTTCTATGGCCATGAGTGTCATGATATTCACACACTTGATTGGGATTCCTCTGGGCTGGGTCGATCTGTAGAGGTCGAGGCCATTTAGTATCTTTGATGCGTCTGATAGCCGACACGATGGCGGATGCATCGATGTTGAAGTTATATTCTAATAACCGTGGTGCTTCCTTAGGTGCAGTATGCTTGTCGAACCTATTCCTGTTCATCATCCCCCGAGACCCTTATCCTCAATCACTTCTTTTATTGCCTTGTACGGGGTTACGTCTTGGTTCGTCACCCCTATGATCTCTACTATACTGCCGGTATCGGTCCCTGATCGGCCTTGGTTCTTGGTTGATGTCCTTTTTAATAACGGACCCAGAACCCAACTGGTCGTCTTCGACTCTAATTTTTGATTGATACCGATTGTGTACATCGGCCCAGGTAACAGTTGGGTAATCGATCAGGTTCTGCTTCAACCGTCGTAAAGCCATCGAACTTCGTTCATTTAGACCTTGAGTGAAAGCTTGAACAACCCAATCGTCTGTGACTGTGGTAGATCCGTTCGTTCCATTTGGAAACGAGATACGAATTCTCTTAGCATCTCGTTATTTTTTTGTCTTACTTTGAAAAGGTCCGACTTCCTAGTCTCGACCTTTATGGCTCCATCATGTGCTTTTACGAAAGCATCTGTAAGCATAGCAAAAGAATCGGTAGAGTTAGGTGGTAAATTATGATACCATATCATTGCTCCCTTTGAAAGGGTTTCACCAAATTTTTTCAATAATACAGATTCGATCTCGTCGTCTTTTAGATCGTTNCCCCCGGGAACTGATCAACCCTGGAGTTATACGTTTCCTATTTTTTGTCGTTTTCTTTAATCCTCCTTGATCCTGACTCTATTCGCTTCATCAGTTCCTCGAGTATCCTAACAATTTCAGGATTAGTCCCCGATTCTTGCTCATTCGACCTTACTACAGTTGGCCCCGTTTTGTGGGTGACTTCTCGGGATGGACCGGGCTCCGGCCTGCTCGGTGCCTGGGTTTGGCTATGCAACTGAGCTATCGCTACCTGTTGAGCTTGCAACATTTCGAAAATCATATGCAAGTTGATTCCATTTTCCTCAACGTATTGAGTATTTGGAGCTGCAGATCGAGTTCCACCATGAATGCTATTTTCAGGGTCGGAACGTTGGTTTTCCTCGATGGCCACATGTGAATTAACGTCTATTGGTACTTCGACCTGTTCTCCAACGGCATCAACGAGTGGCCTTTCATCCCCGGACGTCAAGTTGTTGTTCTTATCTTGAAGACCAGCTTCGTTGCTGATAGGTAGGGCCATAAATGGAGAATTTATCGTTTTCTACCTGAAATCAAAAATACTTCCAAGGGCAAGCGTAAAATAGTGTGTTTTACAGAGATTCGTACCAAATAACCACTATTATCCTTAGCCCCACGGTGGGCGCTAAACTGTTTACCCGAAAAATGGATAGAGTTGAATTTATACGTAATTCTAAGGATACGTGGTATAATTTGGTACAAATCGGAAAAGTAAGTAGAAAAATATCGAATATTGACTGTAAAAAAGAATGAAATACAAACTAAATTGAGTGGAGAATAATTTATAAACAAGCAAGATAAATCAATGTCCGAAGCCCAACAACGAATGACCTATGAATAAGATGAACCGATGTACAAAGCTCAAAAAAGGATAATCTTTATTATACATGTGAATCTCAATAATTTCTGAATATGAGAGTGTATTGATGTCTCAATGTTGAACGTGTACCCTACAGAAATGGTAGCCACTCTTTATATACTGGAGGGATCCTACTTTGGATATAATTAAAAATACATAGTGGGGATCCCATGATAGATTAGTCAATTAGTTTTTCCTTAATTCCCGCCGAGATTCTCTCCCTTGGTGCGGCTACAACGGCTCTTTATTTCTTAGCTCGATCTTGGTCGGTCTTAGAACTTGGTCGATCTCTGGATCTCAAACTCGATATTGACTCGAGCTCGATACTATGTTGAGCTCGGCATCGACTGATCTGGATCTCGAGTTTGATAACACCACTTCGCATCACAATTCGATTTGAACTCGAGCTCGATATTGACTTCGAGCTTGGTATTGATCGGTTTTGAGCTCGATAACCTAGCTTCAGATCTCATCTCAATATTATGATGACGACCCTCGGTTCACCATGTTCTAATCTCGACTAATTACTCGAAGATCAAGCTCGGTTTTGACCGTTTACAATATTTACGTTTACACACATATACACATACGTTTAACTATATATTCACGAGAATGATACAACTAATGCACTTTAAAACATGATAAGAAGGGTATTTCAAAAGCCAAAAACCTGTTGGTTCTTGCGAAAAAAGCACTCTACCAAGAAAAAGGAGCAGACCAGCAGAGGCAGAGCTAGGATTTGAAGTGTATGGGTTCTAAATTATAAATACAGGGTCTCGAAAAAAGTCACCAATTTTTCTTCTACTGTAGCTCCGCCCTAACTACATATGAAAGTTTTCTTCTTAATAAGGACATAAGGCCACTCTATGTGAATGCAAGTTAGTCTCCCTAAGAAACTAAAAACAAGAAAGTAGGACAACAACCACATACCTTGTCTATCGACTTATCGGAGACTCCAAGTTCGAACTTTTGGAAAGAACCAAAGCACAAATTGACAAAGAGAATGAAGTTCAAAATGTGGGACAACCCTAGAATTAAAAATTAAAAATCAAATTTTGTATAAATTATCAAATATAAAATATAAGAGGAAAAATGAAAGAAAAAAAAATCAGGAAAGAAGAATTGAAGAAGGAAGAAGGGAAAAAAAAATCAGGAAAGAAGAATTGAAGAAGGAAGAAGGGTCTAACTTCTAAGGGAGAAAGAGCATACATTGATACACAACGAGAGTTGAAAGGCGTATGGATCTGACAGATTGTGGTAGCAGCGCCAGCGATCAACAGAGGCAGAACCCTAGCTTTTTTCATTTGGGATTGAGAAGATGAGAATACGTCTTTTTGTTTAGAGAAGAATTTGTTTATTAGAAAGAAAAAAAGTTTTATGTTTTATTTATTAAAAAGTATAAATGTTAGTTTAAAGGAAGGCAAAGTGTCGTTTGGACTTTGGAGTTGTTTCGGAATTACGATGTCGTTTACTTTGTGCTTTCTTAAAAAGAAATATTGTAAAAAAACAACAAAATATTTCACTGCTTTCAAGCATTAATTCGAACCCGCGCATTCTCCAAGCGAACCCAGAACTCTTACCATTGAACCCAGAGCCCTTTTGTTATTAGGTTCGGTATGATATATTTATATAGAATCAGTAAAATTTTCAATACAAATATAGGGTCTCGGAAAAAGTTACTGAGTTTGCCCGAACCCGCACCGTCTACCGTAGCTCCGCCCCGCAGACCAGAGGTCGCCGATATATGTAATACTGTGTTTGATACTTGCTAGAAGAAGCCAAGTGCAAGCAACAATACTTAATATGCCTTAAAAAAAAAAATCAGAAACCTCTTTCTTATGGGAAACGGTGGCAACTCTTCGAAACAGCCGTGTGTTGGCTTCTGTTAGTATGCTTAGTTTTTTTATGTTAATTTTGTAAATAGAATAGGATATTTAGTTAATGAAAAGAATATTTTGATAATTTAACTTTTTAGTTAGATTAGTAATAGTTGCTCAAATTTAAATTAATTAGTCAAATATAAATTACTTTTTACCAAGCAAGCTATTAAAGACCGGTTTCATTCCCGCAAGTCGGTTTCAACTGCACGCGCTCAACATTCCGATCGTTTTTCGTTCATAAGTTTTCTCGGAGATCAGAAAATCGGAAGTTAAGCTCAAATCTGTAATTCTCACAGATTGCTTCCAACTCTACTCCTCAATTGAATCAGTGATTGCTCCAAAAATCTCAAGTCTCCATCTTAACAATCTTTCGTATTAAGGGTAACTCTATTTCTAATTAATAATTTCATGGATATGAACCTTCTTTTTCAGTTTTTAGTTCTTGATTGGCGTTTCCTTAATCTATTGCTGCGTAATTCGGTAATTGCCGAACTAATTGAACATTTTCGATACTGTTTATTTATTCTTATCCATGTTGTAGTGTTGAGCACTTGAATTGCATAGTCTATTAATATCTTAGTTTAGTTGGTCATAAATCAATCTAGCAAACAAAAGCTATTTCTGTTTTTCACTCTTTTGTTTTTTAAATTTTGGGTGGGGTGGCTCATGGAGAGGTGAAGATAGAAGAAGGGCGGATCTTTGGTTGTATTAGAATACTGCGCCTATACGAGCACCCAAGGTTGTCGCCTAGTGGTTAATAAAGTGGGAGGACAACCATGAGATTTAGGTACAAAAGCCAGCGAAGGCAAAAAATACTCAGTGATTTGTTTTTATCTGCTTAAACCTTGATTGGTAGAGTTACTGGTGTCAAAAAAAAAAAAGGACACTGCGCTTATATGATGGAAGTGAAATTGCAACCGCTAGACTGCATTAATAATCCTGCAAAGACGCTGTTGAAATTGATTTATTAAAACAAGTATGAGGGAAACTCAGTTATTGTTCCCAGTTCCTAGTGACTATGACCCAATCCTCCTCAATTAACTGGTAATAGTACAAATATATATATGCGATATGTGTGTATATGCGTCTGTGTATCTGTTAGGGAAGTTCATTTCCAATTAAATTTTACTTTTGGCACGCTGAGAAGCTTTGCCTAGAGTATTTGGCAGCAATTACCAGGCCAGTTCGTCCGTGCTTCTTCTTTTGAAGTCTTTATTCTATTAGGATGTAAGAGGAATTAGATGAATTATCTTTTTGTTTTGTTATGCTTTCTGTAATGGTTCTACTTTCATATGCTTAGGTTGTACCGTTGTAGAAGTCTCTGAGTTGACTTCATGGAGGGAGTTGAAGTTGATGGTGGTGATGCAGTTCTATCACCACTAGCAAAGTGGAAAGATGAAATTTCTAGGACATTTCGCTACTATTTGGATAGGTCTGCTCCTTATACCTTCCGCAGGTGGCTTGGAACATTGACAGCTGCATCAATATATATGTTGCGTGTTTACTATGGTCGTGGATTCTACGTCATCTCATATGGTGTAGGAACCTATATTTTGAATTTGTTGATTGGGTTTCTGTCACCAAAGGTGGATCCTGAGCTGGAAGCTTCGGAAGGTGCTTCTTTGCCACCTAAAGACAATGACGAATTTAGACCTTTCGTTCGCCGGCTGCCTGAATTTTTGTTCTGGTGAGATCATAGACCTCAAAATATGAAATATTCATTGTAATTTACTTTGTTCATTAGGCTTTGCATCTCTGTTTCAACTATTGCTGTTTGACTCATTTCATGGTATAGTTACAATGTAATGTGGTGATCAACTTTTCTTGTTTTAGACAGCAAAGATACAGTGATTTACACTCCATTATTGAAGTTTGTGATGAATGACTTTTCATGATTCCATTTGATCATGTTGTGAATATGCATCGTCGTGCAATAAAGTTGTTTTTTTGTGCATAGTAATTGTCATGGATTAGCTTGTTGCTGAGCAGGCTATTATTCCAAAAACATGAAAAATATTGTTCTTTGCTTGTTAGTATGATATAAGGACTAGTCTAGTCACTGTATCTAATCAAAAGGCAGGTTAACACAGGGTAGGCATTGATGATTCCTATTTAAACTGGGGAAGGATGACGGATTAACACATGTTAACTGACCTAAATGTTATATTAGCTGCACGTGCGGAGTTCTTCTTCGTCCTCTTGCTATTCATCACGATCTTTTCCCTAATGGAAATTTCCTTTCATATTTTCCTGAGGTTTCAGGTATGCAACAACAAAAGCTTTCATCGTAGCCTTCCTGATGACCTTCTGCTCTATATTTGATGTCCCAGTATTCTGGCCAATATTGTTATGTTACTGGATTTTTCTCTTTGTCCTCACTATGAAGCGTCAGATCACACACATGATTAGATACAAGTATGATCCATTCAACATTGGGAAAAAGGTAAAGAGTTTTTCACTTGAATTGAATTTTTTGTGATAGTACTCTTTGCTGTTTCTCTTTGTTATCTCATTGTTTTTATCTTTAGCTTATGACAAATGTCTAATAATTTTCAAGTTTTCTGTTTAATAAATTAATCCTCCTGGATTCTGCAGAAGCATACTGGGAATAAATCTGATTGAGGCAGTAGTAGCTTTATGTCAGGAGTGATTTGTGATATCTTGTCAAGGGTAGTGAATGTCCCCTCCTTTGTTTTGAGAAACTTGTGTAAATATTCTTCTTCTTGAACATGTATCCCATGCACATGTAAATGTTGCGAAATATGTAGATTTGCTTCCTGCAGATATAAAAGCAAGTGTTGAGAGTTACCATGAACTCTTTTTTTGGTTTCCTTGTGATTTCTTACAAGGATTCAGGTATTTGGGAGGATAGGGAACTTTGTTATTATCACCATTGCACCTATTGAGTTACTGCACCACTATGTCTCAATATAATACTAAAATCAGGAGCATGGCAGATATTAGGTGATGTTGTGTTCCTTGACAGAATGACAGTTGCTCCAGGTTAGGACTTATGATGCTCCGTTCTCTTTCGTTAATTGATCTCCAATCTTACTTCTCTGGATCAGGTGCATGTGCAGGACAAAGACAGGAATTAGTTATTACTTATTAGAATTAACTACCCAATCGTGTTACATCTGGTGTTTATTATGGTATGCTATCCTAGATAATTTTGTGCAGTATGCGTTGCGTCATTATAGAATTGTAGATAGGATTCGTCCCGTGTTACTTTTATGCATGCCTGAAGTCTGCTTAAAATCTTACAGGTAGACTCACTGAGAATAATTTAGGAGCAATTCAGTTCGTTGTACCTAAAAATGTAACACCTTAGCTGCATGTATTATGGAAATCTAAAATTAGTTGAGCAATTATGCACTTTGTCGAATGAGCAGCCCCCTTGATGCACTATTCATGCCACACCTGCACCAGCATAAAAAATGATTCTAAACGATTAAATATTACTGTTCAAGAGCATTCAAAACTAATAGGGCAGTAGTAACTTATTGTATTTAGAAAAGTCGTTAGCATCTCATTTAAAATAATGTTTGGTTCTTGTTTCGTGCATCTTCTGTTTTTCTTACCTACCCAAGTTCAATATATATATATAGCTCTATCTCCGGTTTTTGAGTTGTCAAATGCCTGATTTCTTGGTCGCTTTGGCATGGACTTCTTTTATTATTAGGTGCATTTCATGTGTAAACTAGAAGAAAGTGATTCATGTTTGGCCTAGAAGGATATGTTAAAATGGGTTTTTATTTTTTTAATTTAATTTTTAAGGTGGGGTGGTCAAGAAAAAGGGTTATTCTNTGTTTCCTGCGTCTTCTGTTTTTCTTACCCACCCAAGTTCAATATATAGCTCTATCTCCGGTTTTTTGGTTCGTCAAATGCCTGATTTCTTGTCCGCTTTGGCATGGAGTTCTTTTATTATTAGGTGCATTTCATGTGTAAACTAGAAAGTGATTCATGTTTGGCCTAGAAGGGTATGTTAAAATGTTTCTTTTTAAATTTAATTTTTAAGGTGGGGTGGTCAAGAAAAAAGGTTATTCTAGAACAGAAAGTGTTTCTCAATTCTAACAGAATCCTTTATATTGTAAAGGCTTTATTGGGGGTTGTTGAGGGGGTGGGATTGGGTGGGTCGACGTAGGTAGACCAATTTCTTTGCCATTATTTACCAAAAATCGGTGCTTAAACTAGGAGTTGATAGTGACTAGGCATTTTTTTTTTGTGTAGCTAGAACTCTCAGTCTAGCGATGACTAAGAGTGTGTCGGTCCTGTCCCGATCCCGTCCCGTCTCATTTATCCCATATTAAACGGTACACGAGATGGGACGGGATGACCATTTCGTCCCGTTTATCCCGTTCCGTCCCGCTTGTCCCGTTCGTCCCGCGTGTTATTTAATTTTTTTTTTCTTTTTGAAATAGAGCCGTTGGCCAACGGCCATAAACGAATATAAACGACCATATTTGGCCCCCACCCCCCAAAACACCTCTACCCCAAACTTTTAATTTAACTCCTAAGTTTATTAAATTACACTTTGGCCCTATTTTAAACTATAAATACCCCTATCCTTCTTCATTTTTTCCCACAAAAATCAATCATTCTCCCTCAAATCTCTTACATTCTATCTATATTATTCTCTCTATTTTCTCACAATCAATATAAGTTTAAGTTTTTGGGCAATTTTTTGGAGCAACTTTCAAACTTCAAATTAATTCGTCAAGTATTTGGAGCAATTTCTTCAAGTTTCAATATTTAATCACGATGCACTCGTTCCATCTCCTAATTTTAATATATAATTTTTGCGTATCATTTTAGAGCTTATTTTTTGTGTTTACTTTACGTGTTCTATTTTCGCATTTCATTTGTGTGTTTAATTTTTATGTTAACTTTTTTAATTTAATTTCGTATTTAAATTATGGCTCCTAAAAATGTATTTGGCATGTTTAAAAAAAGTAGTAGAAAACGTAGTAAAGGTGATATATAGTAGTAGTAATTTTAATCCTAGTCCTAATCCTAATCCTTCTCATAGAATTAGAAAACATATAGATGAAATGACTCATGTTGATTAAAACTTTATTTTCCCAACCCCCCGCATGTTATAATATTAATTTCGGAGAACAACTAGATCATGAAACTTTACAAAGACAATTTGGCAATGATATTTTTATTGAGGACGAAGAAAATGAGGATGAAGAAAATGAGGAAGAAGAATTAGATGAAACACCCACTAGTCCCGCAACACAAGCTCCAACTCAGAGTTAATCTCGGTCTGGAGCTTTACCCCTGTACCTCCTGTAAGGGGTAAGCGTAAGGTTGAACGTACCAAAACATCACTTGTATGGAAATTTTTTAAACATGATAAAGTCAATAAACGTGCTATATGTGAAAAATGTAAGCAACGATTTGTACATACCCTTATAACGAAGCTATATAGGAGCTTACAAATATTAGTATGATGATTTGTAATTAGCTACTAAGAGGCCTAGTTCAAACAGAACCCTTCCTAGAAGGTGGCTGCGTAGATTAAGTGCTCTTCAAAAGAATTATATTTGTATGTGAAATTTGAAAGTTCTATTAATAAAATAAAAGGCTCTAACCCTTGAATTATTTTTATTAATTGTTTTACACTCTTACTTAGTTACTTAATGGCTTTAAATTATATTAAATAAATTACAACTCTATTATAATTACTAAAATATTTCATTACAAGTCTTTTTTTAATATTTTATAATTCTTTACTTAGTTATTTTTATCATTTATTAAATTTTAAGTTTATTAAATAAGTCAAAAAACTAGCCGTTGCAAACTTTAAAATCTTAGTCATTGTCAAAAAACTAGCCGTTGCTAAACTTAATGCTTAAATAATTATTTTTTTAAAAAATAAATTGCCCACTTAAGGTCCGCGAACCGTTTCGTCCCGTTTAGGCCCGTCTCGCCACCGTCCCGACTAAATGTCGTCCTGTCCCGTCTCGTCCCATCCCGTTGGACACCCTTAGTTTTAATAACTGAATTGAACTCTCTAGTCAATTGTATCGCATGTTAGTTTTATCTTGCACAATTTCCTTCTGAAAAGAAAATGAATCAACCATATCAATCTCAAATGAGTTGAAGTTTAACCATATGAATCTTCCTAATCCTTGCAACTCTATTTACGTCTATTCTATTTTAAAAAAGGAAATACAATTAAAAAAATCTAAATATCCGTATATTATTGAGGTACCGTTAATTGTAATGTCGAAGTCAAGATGGTTGAGTTATGATTTGTTTTTTTTTATATTTTATTTAAAAACTGATCAAACCACTATCATCCTGTATATGCTAAGCTTGACATATTATAGGAGGATATGACAGGTGGATTCTTAATCATATACACTCAATTGGTGTAACAACTTAACAACCAAAAGAGGAGAAAATCACAATGTCATTATCAAAAGTATCTGACTTTTGCTTACACATGGGAAAGTATTTATACATATAATATATGTCCAATTGAGAGAAGTACTAGTTGTGTGGAATTCTTTAATATCATCATAGTGACTGGTTCCTGAAACATGGCCAGTTAATTAAAAGGTCTTGTTGGAGCACCCCAACAACATTGTATATTTCCTACAACATAAATCCTTGGAGGAAACATTAGTTCATCATCTGTCCAACAAATGAGTGGGAGAACCTTGCTCTTGATATTGTTCTTATGGGCTGTCCTTACAGTCGTAACCCCTATCCTTGTCCGATTGTCTGCTTCTGCCAGAGCAAATGGCGAATTTTTCGTCATCACACACACCCGTAAGGATTTTTTATTATTTCATTATCATTCCCTTAGCAAGGGAAAACGAAGTCAATTCTATTCTTAACTAAGAGGAGATCATATGAATAACGATTCTTTCGTTTGAATCAGGTGAGCTAAACGAGAGGATGAAGGCCGGGAAAGTGATGGGGTTGTTGGCAAGGAGGGCGCTTGTTGCAGCAGCACTACGAAAGAAAGACTCAACTCCATCACTGACACCAGAAATTGTGCCATCACAGACAATACTCCTCCTGCCTTAAAATCGCAATTGTGAAGTTGAAAAGACATTATTCTTGACGTGTGCATGAGATCGTGAAGTGTGAGGACTCCATTTTCTAGTTGCAAGAATTAGTTGAGTTATTACTCAGTTAATTAGACAAACTTAAGACATGGTTATGCTTACATTATGAGTAGAGTTCAATTGGCACTATGATTTTGTACAGCGTATATATCTGCAGAAAGGTACACAGCAAAAGTTTCATTAATTAACGTACATATGAAATTGAGAAGTTCTTTTTGTTGTTTCTTTTTCCCACTTTCTTCTGTGCCTTTTACAATTTGCACGTTACAATTATTATAAAAGTGATTGATACACTTTGAGTGAAAAACAAGCATTGAGTTGAGTCTATGAGATGGTAAAGAAAAGCAGCCTGAAAGAGCTGATTAACTTTAATTTGTAGCTGGTTTACCATTCTTGTTTCTCCCATTTTCTTTATTTGTTACTGCTGCTTATAATCTTCAACTCTTGCTTTGATCTTTTCAATTCCTCGAATTATTACGTTGGACTTCTCTTTTTCATTTCATTTGAAATATTCTAGAAAATTGATTTTTTGCTCACCTCTACCCGTCCATATAGGGGCAAAGTAACTGACAACAGTAATCTAAACCTCCTCGAATCTCCACCATGAATATCCTAATAATATATCCACCATTGTCGATAAATTAATTAAAAGCCTGGTACAGAGTAAGTAAAACAATTAACATAATCCAAGAAGTGTTATATATGATCCTAATTGCACAACCAAACACTATAACATGATTCAAGCCTATGTAAAATATGGCCCACGTGTGGCTTATAAAATATTTTGGTTTAATAAATATATTTTGTTAAATTAGTATTTGAATAAAATTAGGGGAAGTTAATTATGGTTATAACTCTCACTAACCCACTTTGATGGTAAGTGAGAATTAACCGATGGTCCCTATCTCTGCCTATTAAAAGAAGAATATCATAACTCCATCACAATTTATTCCGAAAAGAATGCACAAGGTAAAGAGAGAGAAAACAAAACTAGTTTTGTCAAAAACAGAAGATCAAGTTCTTCCCTTCCGCTGGATTAAGTCAAGAACATTGTGGCCGATTCTGGTATGTTTTTCTTGACTGATTTTCTTATATCTTACAATTTGTGAAAATCATATAGTTTCACAATGCTAAGATTAATGATAGGATTTTATATAGATTGTTTATGAATCCTTACACATGGTATCATGAGCACGGTTGAGGAATCGATGATTTTCCATTAAGGGTGTGTTTGGTACGAAGGAAAATATTATCCTAGAAAATATTTTAATGGAAAATGAGTGATTTTATCACTTATTTTTCCTTTGTTTAGTTGGTGACTGAAAATTTTTTTCCGAAAAATATTTTTTAGTGTTTGGTTAGAGAGTAGAAAATATTTTTTAGGAAAATAATTTTTTATGCTACTCTCCTCACCCCCTTCCCCCAAAATAATATTTTTTCTTATATCATGAAAAGAAAATACTCATATGTTGAAATGAAAAAAAAGGTATTTTAGCTATAACATGAAAAGANGGGGTGTGGTGGTGGATTGGTGGGGATGTGGAATAGGTTGGGGGAAGTTGAAAAAGAGCTTTGGAAAATATTTTCCCTTTTCTTGATAGGGAAAATATTTTCCTCCAATTGGAGGAAAATAAGTTAATGAGAAAAATATTTTCCAATTTATTTAAGCCAGCCAAACATGAAAAAATTAGAAAATATTTTTCGAAAAATATTTTTCTTCGTACCAAACACACGATTAAAGATTTCTTCTTTTCTTGTGAAACCTAATTTATAAACTAATAGTTACTGTGACGTCTAATGGATTCGGGATCATCTCTGTAAGTTGCAAATTTCGAGTACGTGAATTTGGTTATAGCCAGTTAAAAGTTTGATGAAACAAGAATGGTGTTATAGTTGATTAATAGTAACACCTCAAGAATACTAATGAATAGAGCCATAAATAATGTCTTAGATCCCGTTTGAACATTTAGTGATTTTACCACTGCCTCTTTGTGGAGAAAGTTCATATTTGATATTGAGACAGACAAACAGTATATATGTGTGTATTCATTGGAATTATGGATGTAATGATCCGGCCGGCATTTTTGAGTATTTTAGCCCCATTCCCCTATTTATTGCCTCCTCTATGTTCAATTATGGTTATATGACTTGTCGGGGTAGTTGGATTGGTTCCGGAGAAGTTTTGGAGTGAATTGGGACACTTAGTTGCAAAGTTGGAAGCTTAAGTTGAAAGAGTTGACCGGAGTTGGACTTTTGTGTAGATGACTCCGAAATGGAATTTTGATGATTTCGATAGTTCCGTATGGTGATTCTGAATTTAGGCGTATGTTCGGATATTGATTTGGAGGTCCGTGAGTCTTTTTTGCTTGAATTAGCGAAAGTTGAAAAGTTGAAGGTTTGGAAGGTTGAGAGGTTTGACCGATAGTTGACTTTATTGATATCGGGGTCGGATTTCTGTTCAAGAAGTTGGAATAGGTTCGTTGTGTCATTTATGACTTGTGTGCAAAATTTGAGGTCATTCGGATTTGGTTTGGTATCTTTTGGCATTAGTTTTAGAAGTTGTAAGTTCATTAGTTCATTAGGCTTGAATCGATATGTGATTCGTGATTTTGGTATTTTTTTGATGTGATTTGAGGCTTCAAGCGAGTTTATTTTGTATTTTAGGACTTGTTGGTATGTTAGGACGGGGTCCCGGAGGCCCCAGGAGTGTTTCAGATTGAGTTCGGAACATATGTTTATGTATTGAGACTGCTGGTTTTCTGTGCTTCTGGTTTCCTTCACTGCGTTTGCGATGGTTCAGCCGTGATCACGTAAGGTCTTTGTTGGCAGATGGATAATTGTTCTTCGTGATAGCATAAATGGGGACGCATTCGTGGAAGGTTGGAATGTTGTCTATTGCGAATGCGGGTAATGTATCGCGACCGCGTAGAAGGAAGGTGAGATTGTGCCGTGGCACGCGTTGTTCATCGCGTTCGCGTAGGCTTGGACGCGATCGTGTAGCCAGAGGATGACTGGTCATCACGTTTGCGGCTGTGGTCTCGCGATCGCGTAAGAGGCTTTTGTGAGCTGGGGGAGTTTGTTCTCTGCGATCGCGAGTGCTTTTCCCGCGATCGCGTAGAGTAAGAATTGGGGAGTAGAATGTTAAAACCCAAATCGAGGGTCAGAGTATTATTATTGTATTTTGAGTTGTACAGCTCGGTTTTGGACGATTTTGGAGGGTCTTTTCACGTCTTGGATCAGGGTAAGTATTTTTTACTCGGATTTATTAATTAATCATGATTCCATCTTAGTTTTATCATTTATTTAGTGAATTAAAGTGAAGAGAATGGTGAAATTTTGTAAAACTTCCTAAAGTAAAAATCAGGGATTTAAAGGTCGATTTGAGGTCGAAATTGGATAATTTTGGTATGACTGGACTCGTTACTGAATGTGTGCTCGAATTTTATAAGTTTGGTTGGGTTTCAAAGTGCGGGCCCGTAAATGACTTTTTGAGTTGACCTTTTAATTTTCTTTAAAGATTGCAAACCGGAATAGTTTCTATGACATGTATTTATGGTATTAAATTATTTTAGCTAGATTCGAGCCGTTCGGAGTTGGATATTCGTGGAAAGGCTTACTAGTGGATTGAGTTAGCTTGTTTGAGGTAAGTATCTTCCCTAACTTTGTGTGGGGGAACTACCCCTTAGGATTGGAGTTGTTTGTGCTATTTGTGTTATATGAGAGCCGTGTACGCAAGGTGACGAGTGGGTACACGGGCTATATGTGGTATTTGACAGTATAGGCTATTTAGACTCTTTTCATGCCTTTAATTGAATTGTCATAATATGTTATATCTTTCATTGTTAATCTACCCTTACATATGTTAATCTACCCTCGTATGCTTTATTTGACATTGTTAGCACTTGTTCCACCTCTTACTTATTATTTGGCTCTTATATGCTTTAGTTGAAGTTATTGCCTTCCTTATTGTCTTGTTACTTCTTTAATTGTTGAATTACTTACTTGAAGTTGTTATTTCATGGAATATATTCTTGTTTAGTTATTGGTGTTGAAGTTGTAAAAGCCGTTATCACTTTGAGGCGAAGTTGTTAATTGTTGAGATATCATTCTTGTTGAGCTATTCACTATTATCTTGTTATTGTTGAGACTCTTGTACATATTATGGTTGAGCCATTGTTATTTGTTGTGAAAATATTAGTATTGTTTATTCTTTTGGCAAGTTGTGGCATATGGGCACTTGTGGTGGGAGTTGTAATTATATTGTGATATTGATATGCATGCAGCGGTAAAAGAATAAGGGTTAATTTGCATGCGGCAACATAAGGTGGGATCTATGTGTGTGTTGCTAGTAAGGAAATTACTTGAAGCCACGAGGTGACATAAGGTGGGCTAAAGTGCGTGTAGCTATTTTGGGAAAAATATTTTCAAAACTATCTAAATGTAAGGCTCACGCGACGGTATAAGGAAATATTGTGATTATGAAATGAGATTACGAGGTGGTACCTCGGTTGCGATTGTTTTTGTTACCTCTCATTGGCCTCACTTGTATTTGTCCGCATTGTTTTCTTGATGTTCTTACTATGTTTCCTTTCTTGTTGCCTTTATTGCTTTAAATTCAGTTGTAGCTTACCTTGTTGTATTGCTTTATTGCCACTATTCCCTGTTTTCATTATTAGACTAGGCTATACCTATTCAGTTTCTTCTTATCCTAGTAGGTGTCTTGATCCCTCGTCACTATTCTACCGAGGTTAGGCTTGATACTTACTGGGTAGCGTTGTGGTGTACTCATACTACTCTTCTGCACATATTTGTACAGATCCAGGTACCTCGACTCAGGCTAGGCATCAGTGAGTGGATCATACAGTTCGGAGACTTCAAGGTATACCTGCCCGGTGTCCGCAGGCGTCGGAGTCACCTTCTGTCCTTATTTTACTATTGTTTATTCTTTATCTAGACAGTGTTGTACTAGGGATTTTACAATATACTCGTATAGAGCTTATGACTCAGTTTCACCGATTTTGGGAGTTTTGTTATAGAATTATATTTTGGATTTATTATGAGTTTATTGAATTATCTTATTATCTTAGCTGTTAAATTCTGTTGAGTTTTCGTGAATGTTAGGCTTACCTAGTCTTAGTGACTAGGTGCCATCACGACATCCTAAGATGGTAAATTGGGGTCGTGACAAGTTAGTTAGAGCTCTAGGTTCACGGGTGTTACGAG